AGGTGGGGCAGGGGTTCTGGGTTGGGGGGTGCCAGTTGGACAGGAATGCGGGTGGGAGAGGGCCAGCATGCGGAGTGGAACAGGGGCGGAAGCTGAGGCACCCTGGTTTGGGGACGTGAAATCCCACCGGTGTCCCCGTCTGCTGTGGATTGCAGCCTCCAGTGCCACCCAGGCATGCAGGGAAGGCGCAGGGCCATGATGTGTCCTGGGCTGTAGGATGTGTCCTGGCCCGTCCCCACGGGTTTCCCACCCTGCTTCCTGGGGGCACGCAAAGCCCCCGGCCTCAGTCCACCCTAGGGGTGAGATTTTGGCACGTGACTGACGGTTGTGCACCCTGGAGAAATGGGGGCTCGTGAGTGACAGCCACCAGCCCGGGCTTCCCTGCAGAGCTGGGCATGTGGCTGGAAAGTCCCGGCACTGCATGGTGGAGCCACACCATGGGGGGAGGCACCAAACCCCCCGAGCATCACCCAGGGACCCCCCAACAAGATTCCCTTTGTCCAGGAGATTGCTGTCCCTGCAGCCAAACTACCTGCCCTCTCCCTACTCCTGGGGGACGTTTCCATGCTCCCCTGCCAGTGCAGGACCCGTCCATGTCCCCTGGCCCAGCCCTGGGGTGGGGGGCTCCTGTCCATGTCCCCCCACCCTGATCCCCCTGCAGAAGAGCCACAGTGGGGCTGGGGGGCCACCATCTTGCATAGAAAGTGCCCCAGACTTTGCTAGGTGATGCCGGGGGGACACTGGGGACACGGTGATGGGGGACATGCATGCTGTGGGGATGCTGCCTGACCCAGCCCACCTGGTCCCCAGGGGGTCCCTACGGAGCCGTGGGGGTGGACCTGGCCTTCGAGAAGCTGCTGTGCCACATTTTCGGGGAGGATTTCATCGCCACCTTCAAGGCCAAGCGCCCCGCCGCCTGGGTGGACCTCACCATCGCCTTTGAAGCCCGCAAACGGGCAGCAGCCCCCTCCCGTGCCAGTCCCCTCAACATCTCCCTGCCCTTCTCCTTCATCGACTTCTACCGCAAGCACCGGGGCCAGAACGTGGAGACAGCCCTCAAGAAGAGCAAGTAAGACCGCGGCTGGGGGGGGACAACAGGTCCTGGGGACCACTCAGGGGCACGTGGCTCCAGAGGGACCTAAACTGGGAGGGGGGGGGAGGGCAAGGGCAGGTGGGGCGCTCCTGGTCTGGGATCTGGTGGGCTGGGGGATCCCCAGGGGAGGACCATGGGGGAGCCTTTGGTGAGGGGCAGCCCCAGACCCTCTCTCCTTCCCCAGTGTCAACTTTGTGAAGTGGTCATCCCAAGGGATGCTGCGGATGTCCTCGGAGGCCATGAACGAGCTCTTCCAGCCCACCATCAGCCAGATCATCAAACACATCGGTAGGTCCTGGGGTGGGAGCAGCCCGGCTGCCAGAGCCCCTGCTCCCCCCTGCAAGTGGGGGTCCCCTCTCCCCAGGGCCGTGGCACACCACAGTGGTGCCCCAACCCATGGCCAGTGCCTGCCCTCACCGGGGCAGGGGTAGAGGATCACGGGCAGCCCCCAGCCCAGCCTAACACCCCTCCTCCCTCCCCAGATGACCTCCTGAAGAAGCCGGAGGTCCAAGGCATCAAGTTCCTCTTCCTGGTGGGGGGCTTCGCGGAGTCGGCCATGCTGCAGCGCGCCGTCCAGGCAGCCTTTGGCTCCACCTGCCGCGTCATCATCCCCCAAGATGTGGGGCTGACCATCCTCAAAGGGGCCGTGCTCTTTGGCCTCGACCCCACCATCGTCCGTGTCCGCCGCTCCCCCCTGACCTACGGCGTGGGGGTGCTCAACAAGTTTGTGGAGGGGAAGCACCCGCGGGAGAAGCTGCTGGTGAAGGAGGGCAAGAACTGGTGCACTGACATCTTCGAGAAGTTCGTCTCTGTGGACCAGTCCGTGGCACTGGGGGAGGTGGTCCAGCGCAGCTACTGCCCTGCCCGACCGGGCCAGCGCAAGACCATCATCAACATCTACTGCTGCGCCACCGACGATGTGGTCTACATCACCGACCCTGGCGTGCGCAAGTGCGGCACCATCAGCCTGGAGCTGGAGGCATTGGGCGATGCCGGTAGCCCGGCACGTGGCCGCCGCGAGATCCGTGCCAGCATGCAGTTCGGGGACACAGAGATCAAGGTCACCGCCATGGACATCCGCACCTCCAAGACGGTCCGAGCCACCATCGATTTCCTCTCCAACTGAGCTCCCCCCTCCACGGGGCTGTGTGAGAAGGGATGGGGACCCTGAGAACCTGCCACCCGCTCCGGACCCCCACCAGCAACCGCTTTGGGCTCCAGCCTCGTGGGACTCCCATGGGTGCGAGGAGATGGGCAGAGGAACAAGCGGCTCACTGCCCTGGCCGAGCTGCGAGGCTGCCACCAGACCCTGCTGCAACCATGCTGGTGGCCCCCTCTTCTTGTGGGACACCCCAAAGACAGTCCCTAGATGCTGCCAGGCAGCGCTGCCCCCCCCCAGCACCCACATCTCCCACAGAAATGGGTCGGGGTCTGACTGTCAGAAAAGATGACTGCACTCCCGGCGTCACTCATCGGGACAGGGGTGGTGCTGCCCAGCCAAGCAGGGACCAGGGGCTCAGGTGGCCCTCCAAGTATGGCCAGCAACGGAGCCCGCAGCACCCCCAGCTCCCAAAAATACCAATGCACACGCTTTCTGTAAACCCACATTTCTATTTTGTACATATATTGCACGTCGCCCTCGCAGCTGGCATCCCCCGAGCGGCAGAGCTTGAGACGGCCAGCGCAGCCCAGCGAGGACGGGGACAGTGGCACAGGAGGAGGAGGACAGCAGCCCACCCTCACCCTCTCCCGGACCCCTTTTAACCTGAGGTCGGGGCAGTCTGCAGCATGAAGCCCCTCACCCCAAAGGGTCCAGCTGGGCTTATCCGTGTCCGCAGGGACAGTCTGACACAGCCCCATCCCACCCCAGGGTGCATAAATAAATGGACATGACCCCCCCACACACACACACACCATGCCAGCCCCGGGAGCCTGTGGAATAACACAGTGCTGCAGGGGAGGGATGGCCTCGTACCCCCCTGGAGTGTCCCCTGTCCCCCCAGGGTGTCCCTGTCTGCCCAGGGGGTGTCCAGTCTGCATCTCCCCTCTCCTCTGTGCGTTTTCATCAGGCTGCAGCCGCCAGCTCCAGTGCTCCCGGGGGCGTTTAATGGGGGTGAACTGAGCTCCAGCCCCCACTCAACTGAAGTTTATTATTTACCTCTAGATTTTTGTACCTAAAAAACCCCACACATACACACAGATGTGTATATATA